TTTGCGTGGAAAATTTACGATTAATAAGTTTGTTGAGTTACGTGCACTTGAATGAAAGCCATTAGTTCGATGTACATATACTAACAATAAATTTCATAGTTATGTAAAAGACCAATTTCAAGTCATTTCACATCACTTATTACTATTTAGAAGATGGCCAGTGTAATTACAGAAAATTTCTTCCAATTAACACTTTTGTCAGTGTGATTACAGACGATATCTTAGACTTTGTCAAGTGATGTTACAAATATTTTATGTAGTTTGATGTGTTCCAATGTAATTTCAGAAAATTTCTTGCAATTTAGAGTTTGGCAAATATGCTTCTAGACAATTTCTAACAATTTGGACTATTACCAGTGTGTTTTCAGACAATAACTTGTAATTTAGAGTTTGACCAGTGTAATTTTTGACAATTTCTTACAGTTTACTGTTTGGTTAGTGTAATTCCAGTGTAACACTTTAGATAGATTGTATTCTACCTTAATATGTGAAAGGTGACGAAAAAATTTACCACATAAACAAAATAAAGGCTTTAGTTAAGTTGCCATAATTAATTTGACTGATTTGATATTTGCTTTCGAGAGAATTAGTCCTGCAAAGACCATCAAGATTTACTTTTTAGGTTAGATCAATTGTCGATTTTAGATTTCATGTGGTGTCCTACTTTACCAACCTAAGAAACACCCCTAACCTCAATTACATAACCTGTTTGCAACAACTTTTCCGCCAAAAATACAATGTGGTTGTCGCTGAGTTTTCGTTAAATTTTATACCGTTCTAGATGTATGTTTTGCGATTTTAACCTGACGTAAGTTCTCTTTTATTCATGCTATTAGTTTAGTTTAGCTCTTCTGTTATTATTTACTGCAGCATATACTTATAAAAGACTTGTATATTTGTAGGGTTCTATCTACTGAGGAAGGGCAGGGCCCGAAATCGATTTAGACGAAAAAATAAAAGTATATCACCATAGTATATTGTGACTCTTAATACTTAATTTAGATAAAGATTAGTTATCAGTGCATTTAGATAGAAGATAAATCTTTCCACAAATTACCATATTACCTGTATTAGCACTATTTAGTTCTTTAGAGGTAGTATTTGGTCTACTAGTAATAGCATTTAGTGTTCTGCAAGCAGCATCTAATCTTCTATCAACGATATGTAGTTCTTTTTCAAGCAGTACCTAGTCGACCCTTAACAATGTCTACATGTCTGTAAGCAGGATTCAGTTTTCCGTTAGAAGCTAGACTTTCTTTAATAGTATCTCATTCTCTTCTGTAAGAAGCATCCAGTCTTCTGTAAGAAGAATTTAGTCTTTTGGAAGCAGTAGTTAGTCTTCTATAATTAGAATGTTATATTGCCTGCTTATGGAAAGAACCTATATTTGATTTTGAGATGAAATATGTATAAAAGGGTGTTAAGCAAAGCAGCAGGAACCTTATCAAGAGCACGATCGGAAGTTCTTTTTGAATACACCTCTTTTACAATGGCTGCTAAGTGGTAGGTAGCGTTAGTTGCCGTCTTATGAGACAAACCGCTAAACCTGAATGTTTCTAGTTCTAGGTCTAATGTTAGTTATAGTGACAGTGCTAGTGTAAAAGTAGAACTAACACTAGACATTCGGGTTTAGCCGTGCGTCTGAAGACCTCATGGCTAAACCCAAAACTTTCTAGGTCTAGTGTTAGTTCTAGTTTTAATTGTTATGTAGTGCTAGACCAATAGGGTAGTAGATTCTCAAAACTCGAATCGAAAAAAGTTTCAAGTAAACTTTTTTTGGTGAAAAGGGGGGCACAGGGTACACATGAGCAGATTTTTTTTCAGGGTTGTGAACAACTTGACAAACTAAGTATTTTTTGCTTAAAATTTTTTTACTTAAATTCTGCGTTATGAAGATATCTACAAAAAGAAAAAGAAAACAACATTTTTCAAAATGTAATTAATAAAAAAACGATTTAATTAATCGTAAAATAGTACTAAAATTCTTCTTAATCTTTGAAATCACCTTAGAACATTGATTAAAATTTATAAAGTTACCTTTATACATCGATTAAATGCTCAAAATGATGACCATTCACTTCTAAACATTTCTGAATTCTCATTGAAAACGTTCTCTGCACATTGCCAAGGATTTCTTCAGTTATTGATTCGCAAGCTGTTCTGATACGGTTTTTCATATCGTTTCGTGTTGTTGGAACCTGGTTGTAAACTTTCTCTTTGAGGTAACCCCAAAGAAAGAAATCGGGAAAATTTAAGTCGGGTGATCTAGCTGGCCAATTCACCGGTCCATTACGTCCTATCCATTTTTCAGGAAACATTTCGTGTAAAACTTCTCTTGCGGCTAGAGCATAATGAGATGGACATCCATCATGCTGATACCATAGCGCAAGTCTTTGCTCCAGAGTAATCCAACAAAACCGGTAAATTGTTTAACAAAAAATTCCGATACTTTCTGCCATTCAAATTGCCATCAATAAAAAAAGGTCCAATTATTTTATTACCAACAATGCCGCACCAGACATTAATTGACCAAAGTTTTTGATGGTCAACTTGTGTTATTGATGTGACCAGTAGTGCATGTTATGACGATTTACTTGGCCGTGATTGGTGAAAGAGAATTCGTCGGAAAATAGTACATTGAAGAAAAAATTTTCATTCAATCTTAATTTTTCCATAGCCCAAGTACAAAATTGCACACGATTTTCGAAATGATCGCCATGTAATTGTTGGTGTAGAGAGATATGATACAGGTGAAACTTGTTAAGTTTCAAAATCCGATGTACACTCGTTAACGAAATGCCTGAATCTTTTGACAATTGACAGCAGCTTACATGAGGATTAACATCTACAGCTGCTAAAACAGCTATTTGATTCTGTTTATTCGTAACCGATCTTGCACGTGTTCGTTTTTTTTCCTCCACGTTTCCACATTCCAGAAATTTTGTAACTATTCGATATAAAGTTTTAGGAAAGTTAAGAAGAATTTTAATATTATTTTACGATTAATTAAATCGTTTTTTTTATTAATTAATTCTTTTTAATTACATTTCGAAACATGTTATTTTATTTTTGTTGATTTCTTCACAACGGAGAGTTTAAGAAAAAAAATGTTTAAGCAAAAAGTAATCAGTTTGTCAAGTTGTATAAGACTTTGAAAGAAAAAAGTATATGTGCCATTTGAAAAAATAGAAATGACGTCAGAAGGGCCAAAAAAATGAAAAAATGTTTACTTGAAACTTTTTTCGATTCGATAGGTCATGTTAAATGAAACACGCGGTATATTTCTGTAAAAGCTTTTTTAAAGTTTGTTGAGAAAACTATTTTTCACTGTAAACTTTAACGGGAACTAGTTAAAATAGTAAAATAACAAAAACAGGTTTCATTACAATAGTTAGATAGAAAAATTCAATCTTCGTGAAACGATTTACAAAGTGAAACCATGTCGAACTACGTTTCCCGGAAAATAAATTGAAGTGCCCGGTGATTTTTTTTTAAACGTCCGCGTTTTCCGTGAACAAGCTTTTGTATTTGCGATCAATTTTGCTATATTTGTCGTTCACCGTTTGTTCGTTTGTAAATATAAATTTCTGCAATAATTGGAATCGTAATTAAATCAAACAAGTGTTTTGTAATTGAACTCGCAAACGCATCGGCAATCAGTGATTGTTCGACGAAATTATTAAAAAAGTTATTTTGAGTTTTTAAAATTTAATATTCTAGGAATCCCGATTCGACATTGTCGAAAATAAAATCGAGGAAAATCCTGGAATTTAACCGATTCCAACTACTTTGACTACATAATCGAATTACAATTACTGAATCGTAGTTGAGTTTTTCGTATTCAATTAGAGGACGCCGACGGTTCGTAATTTCCTAAGTTGAATTTAGTGGAGGGGTCGAAGGGGGTGAGTTGACAGTTGAGGAGAATTCGTTGCGCAGACGGTGTGCGGTGTACTTCGATCGGGGCTAGAACAGTGGTCTTTAGGTAGTAGTTTCCTTTCACGGCAAATTAACCACATCTCCACTGCCGAAACTGCATCCAATACTCCGTCTGCGGTTGTCTCTGCATTTATATGGAATCTAAAGCACCCCCCTCAGAACCTATTTCGCACTCTACACGTAATTACCAATCCACCCCTTGAAACGAAACACTTGGTTGAACACTTAGCATCGAAAGAAGCCAAATCATATTCTTCGCATTAATATTAATTATGTGTGTAATCGTGAAACAACATGACGTCTGAGAGCTACAAAACTCGGTCAGCAGTTCCAGAAAACGCGGGCTCATTATGATGTTGCGTAATAATGATATTCAGCTAAAGGCGAGATCGGCAACTAACAAGGACAAAAAGACGATTGTTTTTGTAAAGTGAAGGTACAACGCCTACCTGAATAGGAGAAAATAAATCTTTGCAAAATAGTTATCCAATTTAAATTTGATTCCACATTTTAAAACTTCATAAACAAAATAAAAATCGGAATTAATATGGTTTATCGAACGTTATTTGAATGGTCGCTATGACGAATGTAAAAGATTAAACTTGTAATGTTTTCTCTTATCTCGTTCGATTCTAAACGAGCCTCGTCACTCAACGTCCAGTTGTTACGAAATCATCGATAAATCTGATGGTAAAGAACCGGCTTCGAAGCGAGTATATCTCAACCCGAAGGGGTCACCAAATTCACCGCCGACAATCGAATTATCGTTTAAGGTCGTTTGCGCTTCGATCGGCGAGGTGACGATGTAATTTCTCGTTACGCCACCAGTACCAGCCAATGACCCAGATCTGCTTTCGGCAACCGATCCCCGCATGCAAGCACATAATAAACGAATGGGTGTGGTCCAAACACGGTAAAAACTTGAAAATGCCACTTGATCGTCCGGTTAATATGTAATGCAATCGCCATTGATACCTTCACATCCAAAACGTCTAAGAGAAAAACAAGAATGACCACCAGATTTCTCCCTCTGCAAGCCTTTTTTTGTATAAATACTCGGGAGATCGTCGAAGATATCACACTTCTTGAGATACACTTCATTCAGTAACAACAAAAAAAAAACCTCATCAATATGTTCAAAGTAAGTTTTTAATTTTTTTTAAACAAGTTTGAATAAAGGGATATTTTCGTTTTTTTAGGCTGTAGTATTCCTTGCCGTATTGGCTGCAGTCCAAGCTGGAGGATTATTAGAACCTGCTGTTTACTCGCCACAACTTGCATACTCAAGTTACGCCACACCAGCTGTAGCTAAAGTAGCTACTTATGCTGCTCCAGCACCACTTACATATGCAGCTCACGCTCCAGTTGCTTACTCAGCACCAGTTGTTGCGAAAGCGGTCGCTCCAGCGGTTTCTTACTCATCTACAAGAACTTACACCACTCATGGATCTCCAGTTTATGCTAAATCTTATGCTACCCCGTTAGCATACAGTGCTTACAGTACTCCTTATGCCCACGCTCCAGTTGCTCCAGTTGCATACAGCGCCCCAATCGCTCACGCCCCATTAGCATATAGCGCACCCATCTCTCATGCTCCATTAACCTACAGCTCACCCATTCCTCATGCTCCAGTAACTTACAGTGCTCCAATCGCTCATGCTCCAGTTGCTTACAGTGCACCAATTGCCCACGCTCCGGTTGCATACAGTGCTCCTCTTGCTCATGCACCAGTTGCTCCTGTAGCTTATAGTGCTCCTCTTGGCCATGCTCCACTTGCCTATTCATCTCCAGTTGTAGCTAAGACTTACGCAGCTGCCCCAGCCTACGGTTATGCTGGTGGTTATCATTTGTAAAGACTTAAACAATATTTACTGTATTTATTTATTTATTAAGACAATAAATAATAGAATTTACTTGAACTATATTTGATGTATTTGTTTTCCTCATATCCATATTCTTAAAGAATTTATTTTAAATACGTAATATTTTATTAAGTACCATAAAGGTAAATATTAATGAAAATAAGTTCAGTGCAGATATACAATTATAGCAAATCCATCATATTTTGTACAGATATTATCGCTACAGTGTTGAAAACTGTTTGTTATCGAATTAATACGGTTGATTAGTTATCAATGCAATTCGTAACGTTGTTTGCATGCAAATTGAGAGGCACTGCACTGCTGTTGCTAATTTTACCCAGTTTCGGATTATAGCGTCCCACACGAGAGATGTATGTGCATCTATCATATCGCTCCTTTAATTAGTTTAACGAGGAATCAGTAGTAATCGATCCGGCTTGGTAAACAGCTTATCTATTCTCTTTATGTTGTTGCAAATTACAGGTGGATTTAGGAAATTCCCAATTAAATTGCTTATTATTAAATTATAAAATTTACGTTAACTGATTGCGAGATTATATAATAATATTAGAACGTTATATATGTGAATTAAAGGTTAAAGTGAATGGGGAAAAGATATGAATAAGATAGTAATAAACAATCAATATCGAGTTGGGATATAAATTTTGTCAAAAAAACAAGAAATATCTATCGGATATTGTTAGATTACTTTCACGCCTTTTCAGAACAATCCACTAAATCTCGCGGGTATAAGAGAAACTGGATCGATTTGGGTCAACCAACTCTGGATGTCCATGCCGTGAAGCCGTTGTTATACAATGTGACATTTATCAAAATTAATTAATGTTCGAACAACGGTTGTAGTCTAAGTGAATGGGCGCGTAAACAAGGCATCAGGTGTATAAATGCCACCAAATTGAGGTAACATAGACATTATGAACTTGTCCGATTTTTAAAACAAGTTATGCAAGTCACATAAGTTGGGGTAAAAATTTGTATAAAAGTTGAACGTTTACTCGTCGAAAGCACACTCAATCTAAAACTTTTAATCGTTCAACATGGTCTTCAAAGTAAGTTATTAATAATTTATTAAATTATTTATTACATTTATGATTTTTTAGTTTGTCGTTTTCTTCGCTGCTTTGGCTGCAGTCCAAGCAGGAAATTTGCTGCAACCAGCCGTTTATTCTTCTCCTTTGGCATATTCAGCACCCGTTGTTACTAAAGCCATCGCACCAGCAACTTCTTACACCACCACCAGTACTTACACCACCCACGGATCTCCGGTTTATGCAAAATCTTACGCCGCTCCTGTTGCTTATAGTGCACCAATCACCCATGCTCCAGTAGCACCCGTTACTTATAATGCACCAATAGCTCATGCTCCAGTACCAGCTGTTGCTTATAGCGCACCGATTGCTCATGCCCCAATTGCTTACAGTGCTCCAATAGCACACGCTCCAGTTTCTCCTGTAGCAGCGTATGCCTACAATGCTCCAATTGCCCATGCTCCAACTGTTGCATATTCTGCAGCTCCCGTTGTAACAAAAACATATGCTGCTGCTCCAGCTATTGGATACGCAGCTCCTAATTGGTAAAATTTTGATTATAAAATGTTTAATTGTATTTTGTTGTACATAATAAATACTGTATGAATTAATGAATGTTTAATTTTGTGAATAAATATTTTAATGAACAAATAATTTAACATCTCTTCAATTACATTACGATTTTTCAACAGATATTGCCTCGATTTCTATAATTAGTCAATCACAAGCGTTTTTAAGGGAACTTGATTATGTATAAGACTATGGAAAGTTGAGAAATGTCTTTAATCAGATATTTTAAGTCTGTATTTATTTTTTAAGTCTGTATTTATTTTTTAAGTCTGTATTTATTTTTTAAGTCTGTCCTAAAACTTAGTTTATAATTCCAAAATTTCTAATAACTGCTATTAATTAGTTGGATACAATACTTTAATGATGACTTTCAAGTATATATTTGAGTTCTACGGAATTGATTTGGGCCAAATACTCGAATCCTGAGAAATTTTAGAAATCGATCTAATATTTACCATTTCACCATTGGTAGTGCATGCATTTGATTGCAGGGACCATATTTGAAGGGTCTCAGAAATGCATCCTACTAAGTTTTGAGTTAGTTTGTATCTGTACCCGACCGTAAATTTGTTTGGATCGCAGGATTAGGGTCTAGCGGCAGCTTAAACAAAGCCTTCTGCCGAATGCTACATAATTTTAGATAATAATGTGCTTCCTACGTTATGACAGTTTTATGGAGTGGACCCATGTTAGTTTCGGGACTACCATCAATTGGTACAGGGAGATGGGATAACTCTAATTGAATAGCCTGCCTACAACCCAGACCTGAACCCCGTTGGGAACTTCTGGAATGAATTGGATCGCCAATTTATGAGGTGCTAAACGTTCCATAATCGCCGAAACAACTTATGTGTCGTCTCCAAGCCGAATGAAAGAAAATACTACTAGCCATCATACAAGAACTTGTGGAAAGCATGCTAAGGAGGATTAAAGATACATTTTCCTTTGCAAAAAGATTATAATTCAACGCTCCTTTCTAAGACCTAAAAATAATATGGATTTACATTCCGTTTATTTCTTATGAAATGAGGAAATACTTTCGACAATCAAAACCATGGCAATAACCTTCCTCAAAAGTTGCCGATCTTATCTCGCTTTTTAATCTTTATCTCGTATTAAAAGAGAATTGAGTCGATTCAATGATTTAAACACAACCAATAAAATTTTTCACTTAAACCACGTATAAATCAGATATATCGAATAAATAATTCGTAAAATAAATTAATTGTACGAAAAAATAAATCACTTATGTATCCAAATTTATGTATTACTTGTACAATATTATAGCATCGATTAAATTTAAATAAATTATTTGAAAGTTAAAGTTTCGAAGGATTAAACGAACCGGACCCAACATAAAGAATAGCCAAAAAAAAAATTAATTGCAATGTCCCAGTAAGGACATAAACCGCCCATATAATTCACACTAATTTACGTCCGTCGTCTACACATAATCCGAAACTTCACCTTGACTCAGAAAAGAAAGTGAACACTTGTAACCCGTCCGACGAGAACTTCTCGAATTGAATGGTAAATTACAACGGGGGACACGCCAAGGAGTACAAATATTATGTAGGTTAATATTATTATATCGAGCGATGTAATAAATTGTTAAACTCATATCCGCTGTATGATGTAAGTGATAATCAAAATGCCAGTAGAAGGCCGGGTATTGAGCAACAGGTCGATGCTAACTTTAAGATAGAAAACCAGATCGAACCATATCCGTTTGTAAAAAAAAACAACTGGTCGAGCGTCCAGCGATCATGTACCATCGAAAATTGTATAAAAGCGCAGCCTTTCTTATAGAAAATCACATTCGCTCTCCGATCACGAATACAAACAGTCAAATCAACCACAATGGTTTTCAAAGTAAGCGTGTTTTATTAGTGGGTTAAAAATATAATTCCGGTGACTTATTGTGTTTTATCTTTCTAGTACGTTGTCTTCTGCGCCGCTTTGGCTGCCGTCCAAGCTGGAGGATTATTGGAACCAGCAGTTTATTCTTCTCCTTTTGCCTATTCAAGCTACGCCGCTCCCGCTGTAGCTAAAGTAGCAACTTATGCCGCCCCAGCTCCAGTTGCCTACGCTGCTGCTGCTCCCGTAGCATACTCTGCACCAGTTGTTACCAAGTCCGTCGCCCCAGCCGTATCTTACGCCAGCACCAGGACGTACTCAACTCATCCATCTCCAGTTGCTTACACCGCCCCAATCGCCCATGCTCCAGTAGCTTACAATGCACCAATTGCCCACGCCCCAGTCGCCTACAGCGCCCCAGCTGTAAGCTACTCTGCTGCTCCAGTTTTAGCTAAAACTTACGCTGCTCCAGCTGTAACTTACTCAGCGGCTCCAGCAGTTGCTTATTCCGCTCCATCCCCAATCTACGCCAAAAGTTATGCTGCCCCAGCTTTGACTTACTCAGCTGGTCCAGTTGTAGCCAAAACCTACGCTGCCGCTCCAGCTTGGTAAATAAATTTTTTAGCAGATCAATAGCTGCTAAGTAATCAACCATATCAGAAAAGTTTGTTGTAATTTTAACGTAAATAAATTTGTAAAACAACACAAACTATGAAATATGTACATAATAAAGAATATTTAATGCAACTTAACGTTTTCAATTTATACCCTTCATTTCTTATTTACTATTAAATGGTACACTAGGAGTAAAACCAATACAAAAAATGAAAATATGTGCATACCTAATAAAGAGTATTTAATGCAAATTGGATTTCAAAATTAAATTTACACATACGCATATTGGCGATTTTTGCCATTTCGAGCATCGAACGAGGGTGTTTTCAGTAAATTCGAATCGAGTTTTGGATAAACGCGCCAGTGCCGGCGGAATAATTCGGGTAATAAAAGGTCCGAATACAGGTAAACACGTACATTTGAATTGCAAACCGGGACGTGTAACATGCAAATCGATGTACATTTTTGATTAAGACATTAAAAAGTTTTTTCAATAATTTTCGTGAACTGCTACGGAAAATGAGAAGGCAAAAAAATGTCGTAGGGAAATTAATTAATCGAATCGAATGAATATCGTTGAGAATGATGGCGAAACGAGTAAAATTAAATTTTGTTTTGTGTTAAATAATAGACTCGTCGCTGTATTCTCGGCGGCCACTTTAATAAACAAATTTTTAACCACCTGTAGCCCGATTTTGTATGATACATTTCAATGGTTATTAACACCTACAAATTCCACTAACAAATACGGTTATTTAGAGAGCAATAATTCGATAATAACCGTCCCGTTTTAGAATTATACTATGCATTAAAGGGGGAAATACATTTAATGTTAAAAAATTTAAAAAGAAAAGGGTAGAAATAATAGATAAGAATGTTGGCATTATTGGGTTGGGTTGTTTATTCGAAAGGGTTGATTTCTCATATTACATATTTCCATTTTATCTATGGAGTGTATAGGTACAGATAGCAACAATAAGTTTATTAAACCGAGAATTTTGTATTATAAAATAGAGTAAAAATTTTCATCAGCAGGTATGAGGTATGCATTTGTGTTCGTGGAAAGCGTTTGAAATCAAGCACTTACCCGCTTTTACGTGGACGTCTCGGCTAAGGACTGTCCCTAAAGCACTCTGCAGCTTACACTTGTATAAAGCCGAGTGGACGTCGTGTCGGTATCTATCACTTGGGAAAGGAGGAAAATATAGAGAGCCGTTGGGAAAGATTTGCCGCAATTCCGGAATCTGAAAGTAACAACTTTATTTTAGATTTTATATTCTCCTATTTTTTTATAAGTATACAACTATACTATATTTGCCATGAATATAAAAAAATCATGTAATCAAAAAAGTCATATAGTAGAAACCACGAGAGCTGGCAGTGACAGATCGCTTAAAAATGGTATGAATCAAGATATGGACGTACGACTTAGATTATTTCACCACATACATTTAAATGTAGGTTATGTTAGTAATGGAGGTTATATGTCAAACATTGTCAAAGATATTATTTAATGATTTTCCTTTCAAAGAAAACATTTTCGGCTTGTGAAAACACTAACAGATTCATGACAACGCTCACAAGACGTTTCGATTTGAGGTTATAATTATAGAGTTAC